TCAGAGAGAGGGTGAGCCGCAGACACAGGATGAGATAATGAAAGTGCCGAACAAAAGTGAGAGGCTGGAAATAATCAAGGAAAAAGATCAGGATGAAGTGAAGTAGAAAAATGAAAGAATACATTTAAAAAATCCATCCAGATTGTTCTCATTTGGCTGTCCTTGAGCAGGCTTTCTGTTAAATGGTAATCTTGTACTCTTTCTTTCTGTCCAAATGTCTGTGCACGTCCCTGCTTTGTGCATCGAGCTGCTGCCATAACTTCATATTTAGCAGATATGTGAGTGATTTCAATCTTCTCATCCAACCCTTGGCAAGAAAGCAATAAAGTAAGTGGTGTATTTCAATCAATGTCAAGCAATTCTTTTAAAGTTACCGACAGTATTATCATGGCCTCAAGTGCACTCAAGGTATTCCTCATGTGGTTCTTTAGTTTGGCTTCATGCTTGGCTTGGTTCAATTCTCCACTTGTACCTGGCATAGGATGAAAATCAACCGTCTGATCCCTTGGAAAGAAAGTAAATAAAAGTATGTCTCAAACGGTTTGGCATCTATAGAGGTCTGAGGCTTTACAATTGGAATCAAGAGTGGAGAATTATGCTGCAGGAGCATTTTGAGAAGTTTCTATTGAGGTTTTGGGAATGTTCCTTGATTTTTCAGAATACGTTTCTTAGGTTTTAACGTGCAGCGTGTTTTGTGGTTTTTGCTATGTTTTTCTCTTACGTGGAGGTATTGGTATTGTATCATATTATGACTGTTCAAAATACTATTATTAAACATGAAGAAATGTTGCGGAAATATGCTAAATTGTCAGAGGAATGTGCAGATTTACTGTAAGTCTTTATCACAAGTGATATAGCAAACAACAAGTAACACCCTTTCAAGCCTACAAAAAAACGAAATGTTTGGTGAAGTATTCTCACACACACACGCACACACATGCACACACACACACACACACACACACACACACACACACACACACACACACACACACACACACACACACACACACACACACACACAAGTACACAAGCAGATGAATTGTTTCCTGATTCTCGTCCTCATGTTTTTTGGGGGGGGGGGGGCTTTAATCAATATCAGATTGTGAACGATAATCCCCTGAAATCGTAACTGACGCCACGACCGCCACAAAGCTCTGTCCCAGACTGCAACCTATGACATATCTTTCTCCCCCTCCTCTTCCTCTCTCCCCCCAACCCCGATCACTTGCCTCCCCCCCCTCACCACTGCATCCTCCTCTCCTCTGGATGTGGTCTGAGAGCCATCCTCGCTCTGGCAAGAAGAAAGGAAGAAAACGTCCCTGTTGTTTGTTCTGCTTCCCATTCGCAATCACAAAGCTCTGCAGTTTCTCTCTTTTCACGGGAATAACCACATTTAAAGAGCAATCGATCTTCCTTTCATATAAATGTGGAGATGAAACGGACTTGTAAAAACTCAAGAATGTGTTTTTTTTCTTCTTCTCTGTTCGTGCAGTTTCGGAGAAAGCCAGAGGAAAAATCCCAACTTCAGAGTTTGGAAAATTGTGACCTTGCACTATGAATCCTGCAACATATTGACAGCAAGATGAAGGGGAGATTTGAGTTGCAGAAATCAAAGAGAGAGGGATTAAGCTCAGGGGGGAAATGAGCTTGACTGTCGTTGTATGTTACTGTTGCACATATCTCACACACATATTATGCTCATGGACAAAAAGAAAACAGAGCTGCACACGCACACACACACACACACACACACACACACACACACACGCATCTTCGGACTCTAAATAGAGATTCTTCAATCCATGTCTCTTCAACAACCACAACATTCTCCAGATACACACTCACACTGAGCTGAGAGGAAATTAAAGCCATCATAAGAGTGGGACTGGTGTGTGAGTGCATGTGCAGTTCAGCTGTTGGACTGTACAGGATCTCCATTGGGATGAAAGTCAAGGCAGTAAGCGGCTCTCATCTTTGAAGAGAAGGAATAATGATTTGTTTTCATGACAAAGACACACAGAAGAGGGAATATAGGGAGGTCTGGCTTTGCTTTTCTCTCGCTAATTCTCTCAACATGTGTCTGTTTCTTTACGGTATCGGCAGCGTTTCCTCGAGATGTTGCACAGGAAATCTGCATGTGTGATAAGAATAGCAGAATCAAAATATGCTAACGTGTTGAAGAAGAGGAAGTGTCAGCAGTATTGATGCTACAGTAGTAAGTGCTTCAATTGATGTTGTTGCAGGTAGAAATGTCAAAGACTAGAAACACTCCATTAAAGCAAAAGCCCTGAATTAAAAATGACGTAATAATGTGTATAATGTTTAAATATTGTCAGTAAAATACACTTAATGTATAAAAAGTACTAATAATGAAACATATTTTGAGTTTTGCTACTTTTCATAATTCAGAATGTTATAATAAAACATTTTATTTGTTCTCACTGAGTAAGAGCACTTTGATGTTAAAGTTTGTCAATGCAACAGATGTTATATAATTTGTTTAAATAAAGTAATGTAGTGTGTGACAAAGTACAAATATTACATATAAATTAAGTGGAGTTCAATTAAAAGTTTGCTTAAATTACTCTTAAGTTCAGTACTTGAGTAAATGTACTCAGTTACATTCCACCATTGTGTTTCTATTAATAAATTGTAAAAAATAAACGTTGCACATGCAGCATCAGACATCAGCATGTTAGCATATGTGTCATTAAGATAATGTTATGCTAAAGTTAGCGTTTAGATTAAGGTACCATGGTCAAACTTTAAATCCGCTGTATATGCTGTTATAAAATGTGCCACTACAAGAAGAAGCAGCACTCTAATCAATGGGTAAAACAAGGCATTTTAACTTACGTGTATCTGTGTAGGCCTGCATGTATGTCCAGATGCTTTGCAGATGATGTTGCAGAAGACTTTACTGTGACCTGAAGATAAATATTGCTCAACAGGATGATGACTGATGTAGCTGATGATTGTGTGAGATAGCAGTTCCCCTGACAAAAAACAAATGCATTTCCCATCAATCCAAACAGTTTAAGGGCAAAGATCATCGTGGCTGAGTCATAATGGTACATGTTGAGTGTCAGTAGTGAGAACTGAGAAGTGTTAGTTTCGTGTGATACAGAAGAGGAAGTTTAGAAATAAGCTAACTGTGTTTCCCGGTTAACTTTACATTCAGTCAAAGAGTTCTTGGTAAGATGTCTATCTTAATGGTGATGAGCTACAGGATGTGAAGTCATGTTTTATCTCATGATATCAGTATACTTCTTGTTATGGTATTTCACAGAACATTAACATACATATACTGAATAAACAAGTATGGACATTTCCTCTTGCAAAACAAAATCTAAAGAGTTTTACTATGACAGTGTTGATAATAGCTAACCATGTGCCTGCCATGCATGGTCTCCATCAACACATGGAGTTGTTTCACTTCTCACTTTCACTTCTCCGAAAGGTCAGTATCATTTTTAGGACTACTCCACCCTCGCTCAAGGTCAATTTATATACACCATAAAACAAACAAACCTTCACACTCCCAGCACTGATGTCCATTCTGCTTCGGGTTCAGAGATTCTTAAAATGTAATGTAATACTGACTTTGCTTGAGGGATCAGAACAGATTATGCAGCACAGACAAACTGCACATTATTAGAGAGGAAACATTCCTCAGATGGTTGGTGGATCTGGCAACACGGATGCTTGGCACGTCTGTCTTCTGAGTGTGTGTGTGTGTGTGTGTGTGTGTGTGTGTGTGTGTGTGTGTGTGTGTGGTGTGTGTGTGTGTGTGTGTGTGTGTGTGTGTTTACTTGGCAGCACTACACACACTCCGATGTCACGGTCGTCTTCAACATCTGTCCAATTCGAGAATGATCGCCAGGCTCACACAGAGAGGAACTCAAGGCAGCGAGGAAAACTTCAGCTTTCATTCAGTGACCACAAACAGCTGTAATGTGCTGAATTATGCTTTGTGTTAACTTGCATATGAAAAAAATGCAATAGCATTCATATTTTAATCCTTGTATCATTAAGGTTGTGTGTGCATCAGTAGTAAAGGGGCAACTATTACATCTGTGTTTCCTCTAAAAACAAGAAATGTCTATGGTTATAGCTTTCTCTAATTCACTTTTAAGCCTTTTAAAGACCAACACACACACAAAAACCTGAGTAAGACCAAAACAACATCAAACATTTGTTTTTTGTCCCCTTAAACATGTATTTTCTAAACCATCACGACCAAACACATGCTTTTATCAGGACTAAACCCCAAAATAAAGTAAAAAACACATCTTTAAATAGTCATATGATAAAATACCACCATAAAATAAGTTCCTTGCAGGTATTTCCACATAATGAAAGAGAAAGTGAGTATTTAAGCAGTCCTGAGGCTCCAAGGTCAAAGCTGAAATCTGACACCTCATGTTAAACTGCATGAAAGACAATTGTTTCTGACAATAAATCTAAATATATACTGTTGTCATTGGCCTTTTCTTGATTTTTGTAATTTACTATCAGGAATATAGGCTATACACCGTAGCCTTTCCATTGTCTCATTTGTTATTCTTCCTGCAAAGCACTTTTTAACATCTGGATAAAAGGAACAGTAGATCAACCTTTCTTGTCTATGCTGCTTAAAACCCATTTGTGACAATACATCTGTATCTTTCTTGTTTTATTTGGCCTTCTCTTGACGTTGTTTTTATTTTAGCATGTGCCACATAGGCTACACTTTATCCAGCTTATTTTATTAAGTGTGTCGTCTTAATGTCTTTAGTCTTCTTCCTGCAATGTAATGTCTTACATCTGTTTGGAAAACTAATTTAAGAAGTAAGAATGCTTGTTTCCTGGAATCAGTCTCTGCTGCTATGTAGATGTTCATCCAGAGTCTCACCGCCTCTCTGCAGCTTAACCCCGCCCACACCGAGCGCTCAAACCGGCCATTGGTTCACCGTGGCCCGGTCCTTCCCACTGGAGGAGTTAAGAGAGAGTCACACAGCTGGAGGTCAAACACAGAAGGAGAGCCGCACAGTGGCTGACACTTCAGTCTGCTCAGTGGAGATGTTGTAAAAAGGAGTTTTCAGATTTTATGAAAGAAGCCGTCCAAAGTGTCACAATGTGGAAACCCGGAGCCGGATCCAGAAGCTCCGTGAGTCCCGCTGCTGTCACCGCGGTGTCCTGCCTGCTGGTGACCGGGATGCTGGTGCTTTCGGTCGGACAACCGGGCAGCGGAGACCCGGTGGAGCCTGGGGCTGCAGCGACGAGCGGGAAAGTTTTCTCGGCGTATTTCAGGAAACTTACCCGGGAAAGGAGAGCTATAAGCCCGCCTCCGAGGAGAAGCGCTCCCCCCGGGCCGGTGGAGCCTCTCTCCCCGGAGGACCTGTTCATAGCGGTGAAAACCACAGGGAGGTATCACCGGCAGAGACTGGAGCTGCTGCTGGACACCTGGATCTCCAGAAACATGCAACAGGTGAGACAGAATCTGATACCCAGCTGTGGAAGAAGTACTCTGATGATCATATAGGCCTACAAGTAGAAATATTATGGTCTTTAAAAACCCCAAGGAAATGTTCTGAGCTGAAAATGTCCTCTAAGTACAGGTATCAAAAGCAAAAGTATTTAGAATCCAGCATGGATCTTTTCTTTTCTTTTCTTTACAGCATAATGTGCAATAGACTACTATTCATCTGTTTAAACAAATACATTTCATATGATTTTAAAGTTGTGGTTTGTCAAGGTTGAGTCAAATGTATTTAGGTTATAAAAATACTGTAGTTGTAAAATACTAAATCAGATCATATAGAATAAGTACAAAGTAGCTAGTAATGAGATTTAAATAAACCTAGTTGAGTTACAATGACAACTTTACTTCTAAAAATGTAGTGAAGTAAATGTTCATAAAATGTAAAGTAAATGAAAGAAAAAGTTTGTCAAAATAATACTTCATTACAACACCCAGTAGTTTAAGTACTTAGTGTCATTTAACCACTTATATTACCTGTCATTGTAAACAATACTTTTGAATTGTATACAGGAAAACTTGAGATAGCATACGTTATATAAAAATAGACTACACCAAAATGTAGAAAAGAGACTTTTGCTCAACAATAAACTATTAAAGCTGTTAGAAACCAGCAGAGAGGTAAACTACTATACTCTCTGTGTTAATGTGGGTGAAAACCATTCAGAAAGTGAATATTCATTAGCCTTTATCATGCAATTTGGTGCAAATCAGTCACACAAAAGGAGACCAGATAGTCTTTTTCTACTGTTTACTACTAGTAGACTTTAAATCCTGTGTTTATGTGGTTTATCAGCTGGTGCAGTTTTAATATTTGACAAGATCAGATGCACATGATCTGGCTTTAAGTGTGGTCCTGTGTAAATAGTTCCTATATCAAGGGAATTTATAAAGGTTTCCCAAATCTCCTGCTGCCATTGCGAGTGAGTTATAAACCCCCTGTAATGTGCCGGTGTCTGCAGGCCCTTTGATCCCGCTGCCAGAGCATTGTAAAAGTGAGAGGCCTTTGTAATGTATGAGAGGAGAAGTGAGGAGCTAACAGGCCAACCACAGGGCTGCTAACGTGTTGACATTATACAAGTGGGGGGGGTGTGAAGAGGAGAGATGGATGAAGCCTGGATTGCATTAAGTAGTTTCAATGAGATGCTGAGTTGTTTGCAGAGTTGGGAATAAAAACAATTGTTCAGTTGTTGTTTAGACTGTCGTCGACATGCACAGATTCACTGCGTAATGAAAAACGGCTTCAAACATCAAGAAAAACTGAGATGTCATGGCTTTAAAAATAGCAGACAAAGCCAATGAAGTTCATTTTCAAAAGGGTTTGCAACTTTAGAGATAGAATGAAACGAAACACAAGTTTAAGTTACTTTTCCACGTCTTCTTCACTACATTTAGGGGAAGTTGTGTGATGTTTAAACCACTAGCCTTAGATAGTTGATATGTTTGGCCTAAAGCTTTTAGTATTGGGTTCAACGCCTTGGGCAGAATCTACTGATTGTTTTTTGGAATAATTACTTTGAATAGGAGACAAACGCCTGTCCCAAGTTCTGTTGTCTTAAGATGTATTTTTTTTAATCCAAGCAACAACGTAAAACCGAAAGATATCAGCTTTACTATCATAGAAAAGTAAGGAAACAACATATTGATAATGGGAAGCTAGAAACTATATATGTTTTTGCTTGAAAAACTATGAACCAAAACTATAGCTTCTGGTTAATTGTCTAATGATTGCAGCTCTACATCTGAATGAATCTTCCTTCACTGATACTAGAAACCATCTTTCCTCATGATTACACCATCAGTCCTGTGATCTGGATCATTGAAAGATGACTTTAAAGGAGGGCTAATCAGTCTCACAGATAAATATTTAAAATCAAACCCTACAGTTTAGCTCTGCATCACAGTGGTGAGTGAGTCAATCTGTTGCTGTACCACACATGAGGCTGTGGTAGACTGCACCCAGCGGCTTCAAAGCTCCTAATCGAAGGCAGGCAGGACTGTGGAGCGAACAGCGGTCGCTCGGATTTCCATTCAAACCTCAGTGTTTGAATGAGGAGTCGTTGCAGTCTCATCCCATGCTGCACAGAGACTGTTGACATGTAAATAGAGCTTATGTTGGAGAAATCAGCTGATTCGCCTGGCGCATTCCTGCCCCGCTCTCACGCTCAGGTGTGTGTGTAACTCCTGCTTCCCAGACACACCTCTATACTGTAAGACTGCTGAGTAATGGAAACACACACAGATGCACACGGCGTACCTTCTCATGCCCTGGGAACCCAGCAGATTTCTCACGGGAAGTTAAAAAAAGAGTAAACACACACAAAGACACCACTTTCTCCCCCTGCCTTAGTGGCTGTTGTTGTTGTGATCACTATTTCCTGTGTTGTAAAACTCCTACAACCACCAACCCCCCCTTCTCTTAAAATCCACATTTTCTCTTCACTGTGACCCCCGACCCTCCTCCTCCCAACACACACTACTGCTGCACACACTCACAAGCTCTCTAGAGGCTTAAGAGTGGAAAACTGACTGACGAAAACTCACAGCTGGCTGGACACGCAGAGATGTTTTTCTCTCTCTACCACAGGCAGCGGTACAAAGATTTATTATTTAATTTGTGCTGCATGGCAGGAGGGTTGCAGATGGGAATCCCTCTGGGGATTTTCCTACGTTCTTCAGGAATGATAGAAAGTGTAGAGATTCTTTTTATTGTTTTTGTCCCTCTCCTGTTGCAGACTTATTGATATTATCAATCCCTTTAAGACGGATTAAGGTTGACTGTAGACGTTTGTTTGACACATGATTACTACTCAATGTAAAGCAATATTTACCTAATAGGTGTAAGATTTACCGCCAGGAGTTGTATAATAAAAATATGATTGCATTTTGTTTGGAAGAGTCTAACAAGACACCCAAGGACATGTGACAACCCATAAAAGAAGTTCTCAAAACATGACAGACATACATAACAAGAGAAGAGCACGGAGCGCACATGAGGAGAAAAACCAAGCAATAATAGATTTTAAAACTTTAAAGAGAAGCACAGTCCATAGTTCCTTTTTGCAGGTACATGGAGCCTAAATTAAACATCATTTTCTTGCCTTTTCGTAAGAGACACTTATAGAGTGATTTGGTGTGACTGCGTTTGACATGGGGTGAGGCTAAAGTGCTCATTTTTAAGTTGAGTGTGTTTGCATGAAATAATGAATAAATTGCCGACCTTTTAGACGACAGAGTAATAAGGCCAGTCAACACAAACAAAGTCATCATGTTTTTTTATTTGGCATAAAGTCCTTTGCAGTCGATTAAGATATACTGCAGAAAGGTTAGTGGACTCTTGGCATCTTTCCCGCTGAAGCTGTGCCAGGCTGCACTGCAGCATCTCATTAAGTATCATCTGTTGGCGTGCAGGTCGAGGTCCACTTGGCATCAATTACAAAAGTGAACATTTTAGAGACTTCAAGGACGCTTACAGCCATTGTTCTAAGAACATTTATCTTTAATTGCCCAATTCAGCAAAGTCTTAACTTAAAGGTCGCCTATCATGCTATTTTTAGGCAATAGCATAGGTCTCAGATATATCTAAACTAGGGCAGTCGATTAAAATATTTTATCGCGATTAATCGCATGATGTCCATAGTTAATCGCGATTAATTGCAAATGTTGTGTCTGTTCTAAATGTAGCTTGAGGAATGAGGAATATTTTTCAAGTTGTTAATACTCTTATCAACATATGAGTGGACAAATATGCTTTATGCAAATGTTTGTTTATTATCATTTGATCAATGACAAATATTCTCCTGAATATTTTCAACACAACCTGGAACCTCTCTCTCTCTTCACTCTCTCTCAACCCTGTCTACTTCTTTGCACTGAGCCAGTTGTTCAAACAGACAAGCCTGTTTACAGTTGTCGGCGAAATGCCGCTCCTCTGTCTTCATCTTCAGTCAAAGCATGAGGCTGAAGTTCCCACTGTGGGTCAAAATAACGCGCTGTGATGTGCAGTCGACACGTTGGATGTGATCCGAATGATCTAACGCAGCCCCTCGTCCTCCACCAGTAACAACGTTAGGCGTAACACGGTTGTGATTGGCCCCGGTGCAAATATTGTTTTGCCCCCCCCCAATGTCCTGCTGCATTATCCTAGAATTAGGGCACTATGTATAAAAAGGACATCCTCCACTATTATCCCAATATGGATATAACAGCCTGAAAATTAGAGCTAGGATTCAGCAGTTTCACTTCCACTCTATTGTTCTGAAATACCAAAAAAAGAAAAATATTTAAAGGCTCTGTTTTGCAGCTCTGTTTTTGCACCCAAGCTGTTTTACTTCCTGTGGAAAGTTGAGGGGTCTATACGGCTTCCTGAGTAGTGAGCAGTGACCCTCAACCCTGTCACTCAACACACACACACACAGCTGCTCTGCTGTTGATAGACAAGGCCCTTACCTTTTTTCTGGCTTGCATCCAATATTTGCTGTGTGTGTGTGTGTGTGTGTGTGGTGTGTGTGGTGTGTGTGTGTGTGTGTGTGTGTGGTGTGTGTGTGTGTGTGTGTGTGTGTGTGTGTGTGTGTGTGTGTGTGGTGTGTGTGGTGTGTGTGTGTGTGTGTGTGTTGTGTGTGTGTGTGTGTGTGTGTGTGTGTGTGTGTGTGTGTGTGTGTGTGTGTGTGTGTGTGTGTGTGTGTGTGTGTGTGTGTGTGTGTGTGTGTGTGTGTGTGTGTGTGTGTGTGTGTGTGTGTGTGTGTGTGTGTGTGTGTTGTGTGTGTGTGTGTGTGTGTGTGTGTGTGTGTGTGTGTGTGGTGTGTGTGTGTGTGTGTGTGTGTGTGTGTGTGTGTGTGTGTGTGTGTGTGTGTGTGTGTCTGAGGAAACAGGTGGAGTCTCACCTGAAATCATAAACAATCCTCCATGAACAAAGATGGTGGAGCAGTGAGTCCCTTTTCATGATGGTGTTTTTGTTTCTGCTGGAATAACATGGAGTTTGTGTTTCTTTCCATAGACGTTTGTGTTCACTGATGGAGAGGACGAGGAGCTGAGGAAGAGGATGGGTGAGCAACACACATACACACACACGGCAGTTTTGCTGAGCAGCAACAGTGTTATCTGCAGTCAGTGAGCAGGAAAGCAGGAACCGGGCTGCTGACTTTGCAATAATGTGTTTCCATGAAGTGCAGGAAGTCACTTCAGTTTTATCAACAAGCCTTTCCTCATCTCATGGAATTGTTTTACTTGCAATGAGCCATTATTCTCACTATCTGACACATTGTACTACTCTATGCAGAAAAACATGTGTAACGAGGATATGTATTAGGCTGTCTTTAATCTGTATGCTACTTCAATAAATAAACATCATTTATCTCATATTGTAGATCTAACCAATGCTGTGTCGGGGCTTGTTATTCATTTGTATTTGTCGTTGATATCAGGAGATCACCTGATCAACACCAACTGCTCCGCGGCCCACAATCGCCAGGCTCTCTCCTGTAAAATGGCTCTGGAATACGACACTTTCATCAACTCTGCCAAGAAGTAAGAAGACACTCTTCTCACACACAATAACACCTAGTCCTCTTTTATTCAAGTCACTAAAGCCAGAGGCGGGAGGGTTCAGAAACGTTCTTATTCTTTCTCTTCTTCGAAATACAGAAAAATAGCAATGTTGTAGATCTGTGTAAAAATAGGTAGATGTGATTTCAAAACATGAATTCAATCCTGCAGGGAAAAAAATCAATGTATTCATAAATCATTTGTGGTCAAAACACGGTTTGCTGTAAGGCTCCGGGATACTTTTGTAGAAGGCTAACTTCATTTTAACGAAGGTTCAGTATCCTGCAGTTGTTTTAAGAGTTACCTTTCCAGCGGGGGCAGCAATGCATATTTTAAATTCGATAAATAAATTGACACTCATTGAGCATTTTACTAACTGTCATGTGTTGCAGGTGGTTCTGTCACGTGGACGATGATAACTACGTGAACGTGGGCTCCCTGCTGAAGCTCTTGTCTCAGTTCAGTCACTCTCGGGACGTTTACCTGGGCCGGCCCAGCCTGGAGCGACCCATCGAGGCCACGGAGAAGCTCGGCACCGCTGAAATGGTAATGATTTGATTCACCTTGCAGATGCTCAGACAGTAGCTAATGATTTCACTTTATATTCTGCTGTCACACCTTATTCCCTGCTCCATGACTATAACCGATATGCATCCAAATTGATCTCAGTCTGTGGGATTTTGCAAGCTTCTAAAAGGGATGGGTTGGATTTTGAAGTAGCGTTGTATTTGGTGGTGTGCATGGTTAGGTTGGAGAACTAAAACGGATAGGGTCAGCAGCAAACTGTATTCAAGCCACATACCAAATATCAGTTTAAGTACATGCTGTATTGGGAATAATTTAGCTGCTTTACCTTTCTCTCGTCGTTTTCAAAAGGAAAATGAACCCCTTGTCGATGCTCTCTATAAAGCCCCGAAAAACAATTATCTAAACTTACCCTTATTGGTTAGTTCTTATTGTGAAACTTCTGTGTTTTGAATGCACGATTACCCTGAAAATAACAGATGAAGAAGCAGTAGACGAACTTCAATATTGTGCAACTGAAGGTCAAATCTTCTTTAATAATTGCTATTGCCACTTAAAGGTGGGGTAGGTAAGTTTGAGAAACAGGCTCGAGATACACTTTTTGTTATATTCCATGGAATGCTCTTAACATCCCGATAGCAATGAATATCTTAAGTGCTTTGACAAAAAATCCATAACAAAATATCCTCTGTGGAAGCCGTGGCACTGTAAAAAGCACGACCAATCATCTGAGCCGGCCCGGCTAAAGTAACTGGATGGCCTACCTGCCTGTCAGCCTTCCATCTGGGCACAAACTTATCTCGTGCCCTCATTGGTCATGTGCGCGTTCATGTGTGTTGGAGGAGGGGCTCTGTAAGGAAGTGGCAGATTTTTCCCGGTTGTGTATTTTCAAATTCTGGCTACTCGAGCTGGTTTCTCCAACATTACCTACCCCACCTTTAAAGAGAAGCTTGACCCAAGTAATACGAAACATATTTTAGCCAAGAAAAAAAGAAATCCATTTCAGCTTAAGTGTACTGGCTTTAACCTTCTGTCAGACAGCCCTCTCCATTAACTTCTGTCTACACTTTGAAGTCAGAGCCAGACTCCTTTCACAAAAACAGATTTGACCTTCAGTTGCATGACATTGAAGTTTGTCTACTGCTTCTTCATCTGTTATTTTCTGGGTAATCGTGCATTCAAAACACAGAAGTTTCACAATGAGAACTAACCAATACGGGTTAGTTGAGAATGATCATTGTTTTTGGGAGCTGCCCACAGAGTTGGATCGACATGTGTTTGTCCTTCGCTGATGCCAGAGCAGTGTGATCACAGACCCTTCTCTCATGCTTGTTTGCAGAAGCAGGTGAGTTTCTGGTTCGCCACCGGAGGAGCGGGATTCTGTCTGAGCCGCGGCCTCGCACTCAAGATGAAACCCTGGGCGAGGTAAATACACACTGGATAAATGATCACAAGATGTTTAAGCTACATCACAACATCTCCTCTTTCCTATGTTTTTATATTTGTAATAATAATTTATTTTATTTATAGCTTTTTTTTCTTGAAGCTCAAGAAACACTTAACAGAGTAAAAAAATCATAAAAACAACGCACTTAAAGGTCAACTATTATGCAAAATCCCCTTTTCATGTCTTTTCTACATCAGCATGTGTCCCCTCTTTCTAAAGAGACTCTGAAAGTTTCAGGAAAAAAGATTGTCTCTCTTTTTGTCCTGATCCATTTCTATAAAAACCTGTCTGAAAACGAGCTGATCAGATTTTGGCCACTTTATGATGTCATAACAATGTTTTGGCTTGTGTAACCATTAGCCAATCAGCAACCAAGGTAAACCCCCCCCCCCCCCCACCCCTTATCACCTGAATCTCCTCCTAGAGCACCATTGAGTTCTTTGTAACCAAATATCTCTCAGAGGGACGTGGGGAGGGGCTCCTTATTTTCATCTAAAGTAACAGACAGAGAATCAGCACTTTAGAAACAGGGCTGAAACAGAGGGGATTATGGGATGCTGCAATGATCTGTTTGGTGTTTGGAGAAAAACACTTCAGAGACATGTTTTATATATATTTGATGAAAATCAGTATAATAGGGGACCTTTAAAATATATAAAACACAACATTAATTACAGATTAAAGGCAGTTCTGAAGAGGTGAGTTTTGATTTGTGATTTGAACATTCTTTCCCTGTGCAGTGAGGGCTCCTTCATGGCGACGGCAGATCACATCCGCCTCCCTGACGACTGCACGGTGGGGTACATCGTGGAGGCGCTGCTGGGGGTCCGCCTGCTCCGCTCAGCGCTGTTCCACTCTCACCTGGAGAACCTGGGGCTGGTGTCAGACATACACAACCAGGTACACATGTGACCGCCGTTGATTAGCCGTGTCTGCGTTGTGTTTCGTTGAAGGATGAGACCCGAGCCAGCATACCGTTGGGCCGATCTCCGTTTATTCACTGACTGATAACAAATCAGTCGTTATTATATCAGTTTTCCCCTCACACTGACTCCTCCTGATGTCAGACATAGTCAGGTATTTAACGTTTAATAAATGAAGAACACACAATTATTAAATGCAAAACACAGAATTGGAGTGATTTATAATAAATGATTTACAAATAAATATTTGAAACACACACACACTACTACTACACTACTACATGTATACATCACTTCAGGGGACATTACATTGACTTACATGCATTTCCTGGAGACTTATCCTAACCATAACCAACACATACCTAACCCTACCCTTACCTTAACCCTAAACCTAACCAAGTCTTCACCCTAAAATTAATGATTCCCCTCATGGGGACCTCCATTTTGTCCCCATAAGGGAGGAGAGTCCCCACACGTGACTGTGTATACATATTTAGGTCCCCACAATTATACTAATGCTAGGCCACACACACACACACACACACACACACATATATATATATATATATATATATATATATATATATATATATACACACACACACTCACTAACACAGTGCTTCTCAAACTTTTTTCAGTCATGTACCCCCTTTGAAACATTTTCTCAGCAGAGTACCCCCTGACCTACCCCGAACATTTTTGATCGAAAAAGCCTATAGAAATAATTCCAATATAGTGATGTATTACCTCCTTCATGCATGCATTACAACAAACTAAGGATATTTTCATTTTATGCATGAAAAAACATAATATGAAAAAAAAAAGAGTTTTTCAACTGAAGTAATATCTGTTTAACAAACCAATGAACACAATTATATATTATGCAAAACTATAAAATACAATACACAAATTTGACATGTTTATATGAGGACCCCCTTGGTGGTTCTAGGAATATTTTATATACAATTGTGTTTTCTATTTAACTTATTGTACTAAGATTATTTTTGTAATCATGCATGGTATTTTTTTTATAACTTTTTATTTTTATTTTTTAAATCTCACGTACCCCCTGCAGTACCCCAACGTACCCCTAGGGGTCCGCGTACCCCCATTTGAGAATCACTGCACTAACATACTGGCCTATCAGCAGACTGTCTAACAGCTTGTTTCTGTTTTCCTCTCCAGGTGACTCTCAGCTACGGCACAGTGGAAAACAGCAGAAACACAGTCAATGTGAACGGACTGTTTTCAATAAATGAAGATCCTACAAGGTAAAATATCAGTAAATGGTGCAGCACAAACACCTTACAGTCACTTCATGATTCATTTAATATTTGTGTTGGTCTATAAGGTGTAAGAAAGTTGGAGAAATGTGACTATATAAACCAGGCGATGGTTTCAAATTGCTTGTTTTGTACGACTAAAATTCAATATTAAGAAAAACAGGAAGTCCTCATAATTGAGAAGCTCGAATTTAATTTGTATTTTTGCCTATTAAGTTGATTTTCAAAATCTTTGCTTCTGTCAATCAACGTAACAATTTATAAATTCATTTTCCAGCTCTATTTGTGATTATTCTCCTGAGGAAGTGTCCCAATGTTTTGACTTTTAAAACAGACCTGCGCTTAATTCTTTTGATGGCAAATATAACGTTTGAGCCTGTAAATGTCAGGCTGTGATGGTCAGTCTAACACAAAAAGCAGCCTGCTCTCTGAACACTGAGAGGAACAACATTGACTTTAGAGGCAACCAACAATGGAAAGGATAAAACACAAACCGATCTTATCTCTAAACTTCCCGACATTAAGAGTGTTTATTTTTTATTTGTCCGGCTTCCCTTCTTTCTTCCCCTTTCTTTTCTTGTTCCTCTTGTCAGTAATGGTATCATTGTGTATTGAATTGGGCTGATTGTCATTACTTCTGACACGGATGGCAGTTTGTCTACAGGGTGGATATAAGAGCTGGAGATAATAAGATAAAGCTGTTGACCTATTGATGGACGGGTTAATCGAAAAAGAATAAAATCCATCACAAACCTTATGTTTATCGACAAAACCCAGTGTCAGGAAACTCTTTAGTTTTAAAACATATGTTCTCCGTTATGAAAGCGATCTGGTTGTGTATGTTTTACTACTATGACAAGCTTCCTGGCTTTGTTCATTGTGTGTGTATGATAGCATGCACACGGCTAATTGTATTCACAGTCTTATTTTGAAATCTGCAGTTGGCGGCTTCCAGGCATTGTGACACTCATTTCCCTCTCATTCTCAGGTTCAGGTCGGTCCATTGTCTGCTGTACCCAGACACTGCTTGGTGCCCCCGCCCTCGGTGACTCTAACCCTCACCCAGAGACACACTGACTGCTGGAGGAGGACAAATACATCTCTGGTGTAACTCAATTTGTCACTAAAGGAGGAGGAAATCATTGCAGACATCCAGGAATTCAGAGGGGAGTCTCACTGCTGCCCTCCTCTGGCTCACCAGGGAGGAAGAATCTCTCACGTCCAACAGCAGTCTGAGAAACAGACTTTTTTTACGAGGGCCTGCCATTTTATTAGTTTGACACCTGAACTCTGACTTTGTGGACTGTTGTTGGGTGTCAAAGGGCCACACATTGTAACGAGAGAAAGAGACTAGAGGTCAGATATATCAGTTTGAACCAACAACTGATCCAACAGATTGAGATTCATTCAATTGACTGCTGTTTTAATTTCTGCTTTTTCCATGGTAAAAGAATGTGTTACTTACTCTGTGCTCCTCACATGCTCAAGTGTTATCAGTTTGTAATGTACTACATGAAGGAACAATGATTTGTTATTTTTCAGCCTAATGAGGCTAAAAGCATCTGGGAAATGTTGATGGTTTTATCTGACGCTTATCCTTTCCGTATTCAGTATTATCTTTTCTCTGAAGTATATCATCATTACGCCGTCTTATTTCTGCTCATCTTCAATTAATTTGGGGGAATACGCTCATTTGTTTTCACAAGATGGTTGGATAACATGGTCATATGCGAGCTTTAGAGCCGATAGTAAACTTATTTGTTTACTCTCAGACAAAAAGAGGCTAACAGTTTCCTCCTGTCTTTATGCTAAGCTAAGCTAACTCCTGGTTTAAGCTACATATTTTTAATACAGACACACAAATAAAAGGAGATCAATGCATTTAACTCTTTTCATGAAAGCAAATGATAGTATTTCTCCAATTTAACAAACCTCTGAAGTTCATATAGTAACTCATTTGGTGAGGCCTCTGTTACAAATAATGCTTTTGACTGCCTCTATCCATTCCAATAGCTGAATTATGATCATTAGTGATGCTTTTTACACAGTAGCAGTGTAACAAATATGTCCCGAATGACTCATGTTGGGTCGTGTTTTATCTTTCTGTGCTTTGAAAGCAGTTGTTTAACTGAATGAAAGTTGTTTAATTTAATTCAGTCCCGTGTAAAATGAATGTATATGATGAACCGTTGCTTCTGAAGCGTACATGCTACCTCCAGTATCTGGACGGTGTGTAGACATGGAATAAAAACAGTTTTCTTTTGATATGTTTCTGTGATTTTTCTGCCCTTTGGGTGGGTTTGTAATGGGCCCTCCTCCCACCTTTCACCTCTGACCTTGTGTATGTGCTGGTGGGTTCCTGTCTCGAGACCCCCACCTCTCTGCATCTATAACCCCACAAACAAAGCCTCTTATCTGATGCAGCCATACACAAGACCCTGGAGAGATTGTGTGTGTGTGTGTGTGTGTGTGTGTGTGTGTGTGTGTGGTGTGTGTGTGTGTGTGTGTGTGTGTGTGTGTGTGTGTGTGTGTGTGGTGTGTGTGTGTGTGTGTGTGTGTGTGGGTGTGTGTGTGTGTGTGTGTGTGTGTGTGTGTGTGTGTGTGTGTGTGTGTGTGGTGTGTGTGTGTGTGTGTGTGGTGTGTGTGTGTGTGTGTGTGTGTGTGTGTGTGTGTGTGGTGTGTGTGTGTGTGTGTACCCAGGAGACACACAGAAGTGAATCTGTGACCTGCTTGTGAGTGACACCTGCTGGATGCCTCTGTTACTGCAAACAGTAGCACGTGTTTCTTAAAGAGGACTTGTTATGCTAATTTGCAGGTTCATAATTGTATCTTGTGCCGCTTCTCTGATATATTAACATGCTTTAATGTTCAAACTGTCTTTATTTCTCTCGTGCTGCCACACCACTTTTCACCCTCTGTCTGAAACCAGAGCCAGAGTGTGGGAGAGAAACTCTCTCTGGAGGGAGCTTTGGGAATTTAGCTTTACAGACCATTAACATGCACAAAAAACCACATAACACAATAGGAAAAGGGAAAACCTCAAATAACATAATAGGGTTGACGTTCTTCTGAGCATTTATTTATATCTTTCCGTGAGCTGGAAGTACATTTTAAAGCTTTCCTATTTGGCCTTGTATCTTATAACATTTTAAAATATAAAAGCACAGGCTAAGGATTAAAGTTTCTGAGTTAAGGTGTCTAAAATATAACTGCATTGAGTCACCTTGACTTGTTTTCTAACGACATCTGTTAAAACGATATGATTAAATGATGAGCATCCTAAGGCAGTGAAGAAAAGACAATAAACTAATGAATAAAACACATCATGCCGATGTTCTCACATATTTATATCCAACAGCTGCTGTGAAATAAACACAACCTCAAAAAGGTTGCTTATGTGTATCATTGTGAAACTAACACTATAAGGATTGGATGAGATTAAGTTATTTCTCTTATCCGATCTTTCACTCTATTTAGTTGTAGGTAAGGCTTAGCTATTAATATAGAACAATATGTGTCATCTTAACCATTTAAATTCAATGCATCTTGCAACATATGACCTAATAATAATATATTAGAAAATGTGAATGTTAGCTATAAAAACGTACTTAAATATTAAAGTCTCATGTGGAAAAAACTTTTTAAAATATCTTAGAGCTAAAATGTTGCAAACTTGACAGGTCCAGCTTTAGCTTTAAAGGTCCCATGTCATGGCCATTTCTACTGGTCATATTTCCATTGTTGAGGTCTACTAGAATATATTTATATTGTGCAATTTTCCAAACTCACATTGGTTTCTCACAGCATCTCTGTAAAGTATGTGCATTCACTCTCCGTCCTAAACGGCTTGTTGGAGCTCCTGCCCCCCCCTCCCTGTGAGCCCAGTGTGCTCTGATTGGTCGAAACGTTGACGCTGTGAGAATGGGTCTGCTGAGAGCATTTCTCCGCGATCCCAACTCGTCTATTACCAGCGTTCAGGGAGCACTATGCAAGTCAATGGGGACTCCCTGTTAGTTAGCCTGGTGTGTTCTGGGGCAGCACAGACTTTTCTGTGTTAGAGTTTTACTCGCGATGGGTGTACTTTGAGGGTTTGTGACTCTGCAGACCGTTGAGATGCATAAAAACCTTCATAACACACAAGGGGACGGGTAATAACCGGAAAATCATGACATGGGACCTTTAACTTCTATCAAGATGTCAATGAAAAGACAACAGCACCATTGTTCGTTCACCTTTCATAAAAATAACCCATAGTCTCAATCAGTACGTTAAAGTTGCTTTAATTTCTTTTTTAAAACATTTATTCCAGGCTGAATGATATCATTACCACAGTTTTGACATGTACATCATTAATATCTTAGTTAAACCATCAGAAAATAAAAACAGCCATAGAAAACATTGTTTGTCCGTCACATCTGGACAGGAGGTGTACTTGAAGTCCTGTAAATACCACAGACACACACACATCGCTGACTCTTACACATGAGCGTGGGCCTTGTTTTCCATCAAAAGCTGACTGTGACCGGGTGTTTAGATCCCAGAAAGCTTCACACAGGAATTCAAATGCAACTTAAAGTCAGGTGTGCAGATTACACTGGAATAGTTTTATTAAAACATTGCAAGACAGAGTCATTCACCATTAATAAGAGAGGAAAACCGCTGCTCTTGCCTTTAATCTCCTACAAAACAGCTAGCTAATATTTTATCTTTAAAGTTGGATTTTTACAAGATAAGAGAAAAATAAAAAACATGTTGTGATATGAAGTGTTGTAAGAGTTTAAAAACATTATGAAAGGCCATTAATCAGTGACTAGTCCACAGATCTTAACACTGTTTGCATTTATGGTGCAAAAAACACTGTAAAGTACTAGACCATAGGTAGCATTGTTACCATAACATGGATATTTTCTTTCTAGTAAAATCACACATGTAAGATTGTCTCGCCAATACGAGAAGTGGTCATTGATTAATAACATATTAAAATGCTGTACAGGAATGGTGGTTGAAAAGTGTTTGAATGTTCACTGTTATTTACCAGGTTTCTCTGAACAAACTACATCACCCATAATGCAAATCAGTGTGATGTCACAGCTGTGGGAGGGTATGCAGTCACTACAGCTCTACATGTGAATGTAAACAGGACCAAAGTAGGGAAAGATGGATTTTTTTTTAAAGAAACCAAGTGTGTTTTGAATGTCTGTACAGCATGTGTGTTTCGATGTGTGTGCATGAGGGCATGCGTCTGTGTAGAAATGACTCAGGCTAGATGCGAGTCACACACCCTGACCACTGTACTTACACACAGCAACACTGAGATAGAGCAACAGCCAATGATGTCACACACACGGCTTCACAAATACAGTTTTTATACACTACAGAGTTTTAGAGCGGGAGGGAAAACCACTGGCAGTGCGTTTTACTTCTCCAGCTCGCAAAGTCACCTTGAAGAGAATTTGTGCTTGTGGGTTTAAAACAATAAAAGACTACTAGTGGCAAAGAGGTCAGTCCAAGGTCACCAGTTAACAAAATAAAAGCACAGGAAGAAAGAAAAGACAGAACACGACTTGGTCACAGTATCACATCCTGAATTCAGCTTATGATTAAACATAAAAAAAACACCCACTTTCCTTCAATTTGTAACACTTTGATGTAACATTGATAATCAGGGACATGATTTTCAGGATCCACGACACCATTTCCAGTCATAATGGAAAGCTGTTCTCATTCGACTGCTCTTTTTCCTTATGTTATCCCTGAATGAAAAGAAAACATTCAAGTAATAAAAAAGGTTTCCGTCGCCCCTCAGTCCCGATCATCGACTGGCGTACATAGCACCTGGCAAATGTGTAGTCGCAATATTTCTTCAGTGAGATTTATTCCATTTCTGTCCATCGTCTTTGTTTTTCAAGTGTCTTTCCTGTCCTTTTTTTTATTTACAGTCAGAGGGAAAACATTCCACGTGAGTTTTTTCCTCTTATTAGAGACACAAGGAGGCAGTAGGAGAACAGGACAGAATGAAGGCATCCCTCGTTATTCAGAGTTTTTTGGCACAGATTGAGCCTTCGTGTGTCTCTCGCTCCACAACAGCGTTCCCTGGCTCAAGTTCATAATGCATTGCTCGACACGTGAACTGCTTTCGCACGTAGACACATCCGGAGAGACTTTTCGAGCTCATGATTCAAGTCTTAGTTAGATGACAATGTTCGGCTAAAGAGAAAGTGGTGGTACTGGTTCTACATCAACGTGGCTTTCTATTTCACTGGCTTATTATTTATACAGATGTGTATTCTATTAATGTGTTCATTTGTGTGTGTGTGTGTGTGTGTGTGTTCGAGAAAGATACAGCTAAAATGTCCATGATAAACACGCAGCACACCACGTTACCAGTAATGATTCTACTTCTCATGAGATCAGAGTAAAGCACACGTTTACTATTTACAGGTCTGTACAGTGTGTGTGTGTGTGTGTGTGTGTGTGTGAGTGTGAGTGTGCGTGTGTGTGTGTGTGTGTGTGTGTGTGTGTGTGTGTGTGTGTGTGGTCTGAATGTGAAAGTGTCTCAATAAGGTGGGAGCGGTCTCCACTGGAGGGCAGTAAACGGATCCCAGTAGAAGGGGGGAGAGAAGAGATTGAAAAGTAGAAGAAGAAACTACCAAGGCGCTTCAGTTGCTGTGCATTGTGGGTAATGTAGGCTCATCCATCACAGCAGTGGTGGAAGGAGCAGCTTGTGGTTTATCGCCGAGGGCTCTTTCTTGTTGTTCTGATGAGTTGGACCTTGTTATTGGCTGTGAAACTGGAGTTAGGCAGTACCGGGTGGTTGTGGTCTCTAGTGGACCGAGGACTGGGGTCGGGCGGTGGGGTGAGGCCGGCTGCCCGGGTCCAGCTGGTCGTTGGGGACGGAGCGTCGGTTCTGGTCGGGTCGGTTGGTGGCCAGGTACTTTGCTCTCATACTAGAGGTGTACTGAAGACATGGAGGACAGGGAGGAGAGGGGGGGGGGGGGTAGAAGAAGGGTGGTGGGAGACACAGGGAAATATGTTGGGAGAGAAGACAACCACGGGGAGAAAGTGGGATACAATTAGACAACAAAAAAAAGCAAAAGAAGCAAAAATATGTATGGGTTAAAATCAAACTGAATAGTAAAATAAGTAATGTAGAAACAGTTCAAAGGAATAGTTTACCCACAAAATGACCATTTGTATATTAGTGACCCACTTTGTGTTACCCTGAATTCTTGAAGAAAACAGTTTACTGTCACATGTCTCCATAGCGAACAGTACGAAATAGGATTAGAGCCACATGTGATTCTGACTTCTTCTCAGAATGCTCACTTCAATCTGAGAAATACAAAAAATAATCACTTTTGGTCACATTTAAAAGATCCCTCAAAAGTTTCCTCCGTTTTTGGATTCATTGTGTACCATGAGGACGGTGAGAAAAACAACATTTCCTTCAAGAATTCAAGGGACAACAGGGGTAATTAAAGTAAACATGGTCATTTTGTTGCTGAAGTATTGATTTGACAGGTAAAAATCAACATCAGATCAATAATTGTGAATGGTTTGTAAGTGTTAGCAAGACACAATAAACAGATTATACAAATAGATAGATATACAATAGACAGATAGATAGATGGATATATAGTAGATAGATAGATAGATAGCTAGATATATAGATAGATAGATAGATAGATAGATAGATAGATAGATAGATAGATAGATAGATAGATAGATAGATAGATAGATAGATAGATAGATAGATAGATAGATAGATAGATAGATAGATAGATAGATAGATAGATAGATAGATAGATAGATAGATAGATAGATAGGATAGCTAGATAGATAGATAGATAGATAAGATAGATGATAGGATGATGATAGATAGATAGCTAGATAGATAGATAGATAGATAGATAGATAGATAGATAGATAGTAGAGTAGATAGATAGATAGATAGATAGATAGATAGATTAGATAGATAGATAGATAGATAGATAGATAGATAGATAGATAGATAGATGGATAGATAGATAGATGGATAGATAGATAGATAGATAGATAGATGGATAGATAGATAGATAGGATAGATAGATAGATAGATAGACAGATAGATGGATATATAGATAGATAGATACATAGACAGATAGATAGACAGATAGATAGATATTATTAGATTGAGATTATTACGAGAGGCGAACAAACACAGATAGGTGCAGCAGAAACGCTTTGACCAGTCATTTGGACAGCCGGGGTTTGATTAACACAGTGATTGGTTAAATTACAGCTGATTAGGTCTGGATGATGTTATTGTAAATTAGCAGATGTGGTTGGTTTTGTCAGTGGTTTGTAGTTAGTGCTCTAGTTCTGATGTAGTAGGTTAGCCTGGTATGAGTTAGTGGTCTCTTATGAGCATCTGGCTAGTTACTGTTGCAGGTCGCTGACGACGGGGAGCTCTCTGGACCACAGTTTGGTCGACAGCTCTGCCTAAAAATGATGAATCGTGGCCATCTTGGTGGCTGCTAGAGTGCAACAGTGGAGGTGGGAAACGTGTGCTCCTGTTACTGTTTAATGGTGAAAGGTGAGGGGGCACAGAAACAGAGGACACACACACCTCGACGAGAAAATGCACACATAGACAGACTGTGGGGACAGGGGGGAGGGGCAGGACGTTTAGAGGGTTGGGCTCAATTTGTTTCAACTTCACTGCAGGGCTCGGCCAGTTGATGAGGAGAAAGAATTGTGTCCTAGAAGGTTTAATATTAGTAGATTTGTTGTAATTAAATTAGGTAAATCCACAGTTCTGTAGCCCCCGAATGTTTACAGTTCCGCATGGAACCGAAACGCACAACTGCAGGCCCAGCAGCACCTCGTCAAAGCAGGAATAGTCGCAAATAGTTAAAACAAGGTGCATTTGTGGCAGTATTGTGTCTTTTGGTGTGTAAGAAAAAGGTTGATGTGCTACCAAAAATATCCTTTCAGTGTCTCTGAACAAGTTCTCCTCCCATGACCAACCAGACTTTATACATCAGAAATAGAGGACAACTGTGTGTCTAACGTGACTCGACAATAACACTTTTGATGCAAGTGTAAATCCTCAAAAACAACAGACGTCTTTTCAAACTTCCAGTTTTCCCAGGCTGCCAAAATGACCTTCATACGGGTTCCATGATCACGGACTACTTTGAGCACAGAGGACACTTGCAGTGGTGTAGGGATAGGGCACTACCTTCCAATATCCACACTAGCACGCTCTAACATCAGACGTGAGTACATTTATCAATACCATGCTTCCTCAGTTACTTTCTGAGATGATAAAATGCTGTTGATGTGGGTTCTGCGGTTTTTTATATTTCCCAGCTGCACTGTGGGTATTGGAAGATAGTGGAGGGAGAGTGTGTTCTAGAAAGTGTGCACTTACAGAGGGTGGAGGGGACTCCCTGCCAATCAGGGGGGTGTTCTCACACCGAGGGTTCTGAAAGTTTGCGTTCTGGCTCCTGCATTATAGAATCAGAGGTTACTGCATGTGGTGCTCAGGGTCCAGCTGATGTCCCTCTGTGGCCGGATTAATGACTCTCAATGATAAATGGCCTCAATGATAATTACAAGTCAGGGGCTTAAGATGGGTGTTTACCATAAAGCCAGGGGTGAAACACCTCAGTCCAACATACTTTACATTCTTTCTTAACCCTTAGATGCATAAGTGGGTCTTTTTAACCCTTTGAGGTGGTTTTCTTGAAGTATCTTTGTAATTACATTTTTTCCAGCTATTCCTCAAAAAACATGTTTTGGATATCATGCCATTCAAATTTTTAATTTTAAGAAATTGTAGTTTTTGTATTACTACCCCAAGCTTCCATAAGTGGGTCAAAAATGACCCGCATGCATTTTCTCATTTCTCATTTCATTTGGAATTTCGTTTCGTTTTTTCAAAATGTAAAAAAAAAAATCTAAAATTCTAAATAGTGAAAAAATAAATATTAAATATTTCTAGTGTGAACCAAAATATAATACTAAATATTATACAAGTGATTTTTCTTAACCAAAATGACAAAAATATCATAAAAACACATATTATTCTAAGTCCTTTTAGACCCACTTATGGAAGAGTGTAGGGTCCAGTCACTCGTGCATCTAAGGGTTAACAATGCACAAAAGATAAACATGAAGTCTAACAAAGGGACACTGGCTCAGTGAAATTGTATTTTATCAGCGTGTGTGTGTGTGTGTGTGTGTGTGTGTGTGTGTGTGTGTGTGTGTGTGTGTGTGTGTGTGTGTATGTGTGTGTGCCCATAGCAAATATGTAAAAATGATGTATTGGTAATTTCCAAATAGTAAATGACTATGTCCTTAATATCTTGCATTCTATGTTGAACAGTCGAATTGATCCCTGATGGTGACAGTCAGAGAGCTACAAACCTTCGGTAAATATGATAGATGTGTCTGAAAAACTGTAAGTTCAACTTACAGCATGAATGTAAGTGAGGCTTTACTCAACGGGAGAAGCTTTCTGTGACTTTCTGGCTACACAGGAGGATATCCATCTCTCTGAAAGCCTTTAACATAGTCATCAGTATTATTATGTATGCAGGACTTGATCATCTCCTAAAACATTAAAAACATGGTCCTTTATTGGTCCAAAATCTCACAATGCCAAATGATAGGTAGTGTCTGTTTTCTTAACCCTGGCTGCAGAGTTAAAGATCTCTTTGTAGCAGTAAGCAGCACAAAGTAGTAGATTTGCTCACAGCTAAAGTAGCAGCAAGCAGTGGCAGGCTAAAGCCAATAGCTGTATTATGTGTTGTGTTCAGAGCAAGCACTCCTTTGGCAAACCGTAGCAAGCAGGGTGAAAGTATAAACTTATGTTAATCTTGAATCTATTTTTTTTTCTTACATCGTGGACTGAAACAGGCAGCATTGTTTCTCTATCAGCATCACAGGGAAAGCTAGTGAAGGGTTGTAACTCGCTGAGTGCTGGTAAAGTGTCCTGAGGGATGTGCTACAGCTATTCTAACTTAGCGTATTGCAGGCAGTGACCGTAGCTATGCTGCTAGTCTGGGTCAGGGGGGGGGGGGGGCAAGCATCAGCTACCTATTGTAGGAAGTGTATTGATCCTGCTAGCCTCCAGCCAGCGGTGGGTGCTAACTCACATGTATTCAGTGACGGGGGCATTGCTGACAGTGTGAGCGGTAGCGGGCAGGCTAGCTTCGCTACCGTAGCTGGAGCCACAGCTGTAGAGACTGGGCATGTGAACGCGGTACAGGTTATCGTGCACACCGCCCCGTGAGGCGCCCGACTCGTCCTCTCCGTCTTCCTCATCCGTCCTTCAATTGGTCAGGGTTAGGGCAGGGCACGAGAGGGCATGATGGATAACGGGGAGGGGGGTAGAGGGGAGGAAGATCCGAGAGAGACAACAGAGTGTAAACAAGTGAAGAGGAGGTTAGGAGAGGGGGAAGGTGTGCTATGTGGAGTCCTCTGATACAAAACACTGGGTAAGGCCATGCCTCCAGCACCAAAGCAGCTGAACAAGAAGAAAAGGAACATGGGCAGCATTCATCTACAACACACGTCCACTACAAGTACATCAGGGTCTCTCATATCACTACACAGCCCGGGGTGGACCCATGAAGCTGATGCTTGTGTTTTAACATTATATTTAACAATACAAAGGTAAAAAACTCTTCAATATTCTAAAAGTTGTCCTAATATGTAGAAACATGCATTATTTGTTCTTCATGCAGTCATTCTCTATTGAAATCTCTTAATAATTACTGTCCATCTCAATTTGTCTAATCTGAATCAAAGTTAGATTATTCTCTTTCAAAGTACTTCATGCATCACTGAGCGCTCCATGAAACTTAAAAGCAAAAACATCAGGGAAAAAGGAGATAACATGGCTGGTTTAGGCAAAACCATTTTCAGACATAAAATGGTCAAAAATGTAAAAAATAAACGGCCAGCAACGTAACAGAATGAGGCATCAAATACGATGTGTGCTGATTTGGAAGTTGGATCTCTGGCTACAGAAATGTACTGGCTTCTAAAATGTATAGGTCAACCACAAAATACATGTATACGTGTGAACATGTAGACTCTATTTTCAAGGCTATTGGTTTTTCTTCTTTGTTGTTTTTGGGAGGTCTATACCAGTTGTACCCATATTAACAAACCCACATGAGGCTGGTAATGTTTCAAAGAAGTAAAGATGGCGGGAGGACAGATTTGGTTTATTGGAATATCCTACGCCGGTATTTTCAGACACGTACTGCGTTGACTGGCCACCAGATGGCAGTGTTTCACTCAGGAAACCAACAAAGAGCTAATCTGTGCAGTTTATCAAGCAGACGGCTGCAGGACAGTCAGGCTAATATGCAGCTGACCCCATGAGCAGTTACTTCTGCTCAAATCGGGGACATGATGGATTATTGTTTAACACCTGCTGGGCCATGCATTAGCATTTATTGGTAATTCACACCGAAAAACCGAGCGTAAAAACCCACAGCTGTGTTCAATGATTAAAATCAGAGTGAAAGTCATCAGTCTAGAGCTCTTCGCACTGATGTTCGCTGCTAATTATTTATTTGTTTGAATGGCTGAATCGGAACAGGCTGTTTTTATGGGACCATAGGGTCGTTTAATTCCTCGATATCCACCATCATTCGCTGAAGCCCGAAGCATTTCCAAATCAGGACAGGGAGAGAGGAGAGAGGGACGGAACAGAAGGAGGAAGTGGGGCACAGAAAAGAAAAACAATCTAACACAAAACTGGAGCTCCATGTCCACAGCGAGGAAAATAAAAATGAGAGATAAGTATAAACATGGAAACAGACAATCAGCCAGACTGGCAGTGCTAACGGTAAAACAAAGAAAACTTGCAGAGGAAATGGTGCAAAGACAGGCAGGAGGACGTACAGAGAACAGCTCAGGAGGCAAACACACTTAAAGAATGACATGCATGGCACTGAGTGGATTCTTTATGGCTCTTTCCACTGTCTGCAGGTCGTAAAGTCCCGTTAAACCACTTCGAAGTTAGAACTAGTTACATGTTAGATGTTAGTGTTCAGATTAAGGATTGTAAAGACGTGTGTGTGCTTCTCAGAGAGACTGTGTGTGTATGTATGTGTGTGTGTGTGTTACCTCTTGCCAGGCCAGGTATGTGGCACACTGCAGACGATGGAGGAGAACATCAGAGCGGTGACGAAGGAGAAGAGAATGAGGTAGATGACGCCCTCCACGCCGTCGTAACACAGCCCGGTCAGCGCCTGAACGTAGTCCTGCATGGAGAGGAGTCTGCTGTTTAGAACGGGTTGTAAATGACGAGTTGTTTCTTTCTAACACGACACACGGAGTGACTCACCATGTGAAGGCTGCGGCAGTCCACCAGGGCGGTCAGCTGGTGGAGACCGACCTCGGTGGAGTTCAGCACCGACTGGATCTGCTCCAGACTCCCCTGCGCATCAAGACAAATGTACTTTATTCATCCCGAAGGAAATTGTAGTGGCAGATACGTGATTGGCTGTATCAGGTGCTCAAAGACACTTTACAGTGGGAAAAATAAACAAACAAAAAATGTAAAAGGTGAAGGAAAATCGAGCTAATAAAACAACTTTTAGCACGAGGACACAACATTCATCAAAAATATAGTTATCCGCCCTCCATGTGCACCACACACACACACCCACACACACACCCACACACACACACACACACACACACACACACACACACACACACACACACACACACACACACACACACACACACACACACACACACACACACACCACACACACACACACACACACACACACACACACACACACACACACACACACACACACACACACACACACACACACACACACACACACACACACACACACACACACACACACACACACACACACACACACACACACACACACACACACACACACACACACACCTTGGTATTGGCATATTCACGTGTTGCTGATCTCAGTAGCTCTGCCACATCATCCTGCATCTCCACCAATGCTTTGTGACTCCCTGACAGCCTCTGCAAAACACCACAGAGACAAACAGAGACACACATATATGTTTTAGTTATGTACAGTACTCCAGAATTAAAGACATGTATTATACAAAAGCAGAAAGAAAGCCCTCTGACAACACGGTGATGTTACCTGCTGGAAGGGGTTGATTTGGCCAGGGCTGCACCTCAGGTAATACTGCAGGATATCTGGGAAACAGATATAGATACATACATATGAATAGAATAATAATGATACATGTATTTACAATATACAGTAGAATTAAATAAATAACAATAGTAAGCTTTATTTGTATTGCACTTGTAATACACAAAGTCAAATAACCCTCTCATGTAAACAAAGGAAGATCAACATGTCGCTAATGAAAGCAATAAAATAAATCTGTTTTCAGCTGTTGTTTGAAAGTGTCTACTGAGTTTGCCTCTCTGATATTTCCTGGTATAGGGTTTCCAACGTTTGGGAGCGTAGTGAATAAAAGCTGCATCACCCATGTTATGTTTGGGGACTTTAGGAACCTTTAAAACGCCTGCTGAAGAAAGGCAAACAAGACCCAGGCTCTCCAATGAAGCTTGAATTAGCAGTATCACTCAGGCATATCTCTGTGTGTGTGTGTGTGTGTGTGTGTGTGTGTGTGTGTGTGTGTGTGTGTGTGTGTGTGTGTGTGTGTGTGTGTGTGTGTGTGTGTGTGTGTGTGTGTGTGTGTGTGTGTGTGTGTGTGTGACAGAGGCAACATCTGTGCGCTGCAGAGCGGAAACGACTGACAGCCAACAGGACTCATTAGAGGAGAGTGCACAGGGGGAGGGAGAGGAAGAAAGGGAGTAATTGAGAGGTAAAGAGGGACATAGAAGGATGCAGAGAGAGAGAGAGAGAGAGAGAGAGAGAGAGAGAGAGAGATCAAATCAGATAACGATCCTGAGAGAAAAAGCCGTAATGTGCTCTGAGGGTTTCATATGTTTGTTTTGAACATTTGGGACAGGCAGGATGAGAGCGAGAGGCAGCAGAGTTGCTGATGCATTGCAGTCAGCAGAGGGAGGAAGAGCTTTTAGATACCAAAGTGTCACTCAAACACGATCCGCTCTGACACACACATATCATACAGACAAGACCACACACACTTCCTGCTTAAAAGAGAAGCCACATGTCAGGGTGAGACCCAAGACGTTTCTGCTTGTACATTATCTGCCTTTGAGCGGTCCATTGACCAATCATATTATTTCCTTACTTCTTCATGGTCCAGTATTATAATACACACTTTATCATCACAAATTATAATATGTGTTGTCTTTCTACAGCAGAACCTAAAGCCATCGCCAGTTGTCATAAAGATGAGTGGTTGTGAAATAGGAATGGTACAAAGCTTCTTGTTTCTTTTCCCTAAGCAATACTGCACTGTTTGATTTCTTCAGGCATCTCAAAATACTTGAATAAAACTAAAAAAAGAGTCTATTGTCGGACATGTTTAACCTGTAAGAAGTGTTTGCATGTAGACACTGCTTTCTTATATGATTCACGAGCTTGAATGCTTTGGAAACCCTGCTTTATGCTGTTTATGCCGCTTTCTACAGTGGTGTGGAGTCTGTCATTTACCCCCAGATGACGTAAATATGAGCGGCTGTGAAAGACAATGGCAATCTTATGGCATACTGTACTGTTTTATGTCTTCAGGCATCTAAAAAGACTAAAATAAAACAATCTGAAAAGGATAAATAGTCTATGGTTTGGCTCTAAGTGTTTGGAGGAAGAGGCTGCATTGTTTTAAGATTCAGACTGAGTGTTTTGGAAACCCTGTTACATATCACAAAAACCTAAAGAAATGTCTGATCGCTGGTTCTGTATTTTATAGTCTGCGTACCTTGGTCGATGACAGCGTTTTCCTTGGTTACCCTGGTGATGTAGGTATCCGGGGAGACGCAGAAGTCGCTGGCTGACTGTAAGAGGGTGAGCAAACACACACACACACGACCCATCAGCCTACAGTACACTGAGAACACACTCGCTCGAGCGGTGGGAAAAAGAAAAACGATTACATCACTGCGGAGCTCTGCGATGTTGCCATGGTTACACTTACAGCAGCGACAGCCAGTTCCATGCCGAGAGACCCCCAGCTGATTATCAGAGTCAAAACACCCAGCAGACACACTCTATGGGACACACACACACATGTCGTTAAAGTGAGCAACATGAGGTGCTCTAACACACACAGATTCAGAGTGTACAAAGGACGCGGATCGTCCAATAGGAGCAGGTTTTGGAGAGTGATGTCATGTAGATTACCCAATCAGAGTGCCTCTAGAGTTGCGTATCAGGCCGAAGAGCACCAGGAGGCAAATGAGCACATCAAACAGCAGCAGGCCGAGATACCCCAACCACCTGTAACACACACACACACAGTGTTTAGGACACATAGGGGATCTTACATAACTAAACCAGCTGCTAATTAGAAGCAAACACATCAGCTGATTAAGCTTTACCATACACGGTGTAGGACATTCACATACATCAGGGTCAAACTGAGAATGACATCACTAGCTCATTTGTATTAAAGGTTTTTGACTTACAGTATAAGGTATGAAAGTAAAACAATGGCATTGGTTTATTCACTGGGATCTACTCTTTCCATTGTTTTTATGGTTGTAACGTATTTATCACGCCAAAGTCACATAAGGGCTTCACCATTTTGAAAAACATCTAATTGTGGTTATTATGTGATCATTGATGAAATGAGATCATCATTACATCATTTTTTAAACATAAAAACATATTTCAATTATCCAGGTGTGTGTTTCTTTTTTAGATAATCTATTACAAACCTATGTGTACGTTGGGACTTCTCCAAAGCACCACGACACTTTATTCCTAAATATATTTGTTGTATTTAGCCTTTACCAAATATTGCACTTTCCTCCATTTGAATATTGCAAAAGTCTGAATTCCAATAATTGTGCAGTCCTAATAAAATCTCTTCTTCGAGGTGGAGACTGGAGACCACACATAACCTTGCTGATCCCCCCTCTGCACATCCAGCAAATACTTTGTATCTCACAAACTGACCTGTAAAAATCAAACGCCTCCGTCTTGCGGGCCAAGTCCTCCAGGGAGATGTTGGTGTTGGACCAGAAGGGAACGTCCACCATCAGCCGCACCAGCTCGTCCAGCTGTCCCTGCAGCTTCTGGACGATGGACACGTAGTCCGTCTGCTCCTGATAGGCCGTCTCCAGCTGCACCAAGCTCTCCTCCACCGTCTGGTTCAAGGCGAGAGCGCTGTCCGTCACCTGGATGTTCACAGGACACAGGAATCAAATCAAAGGATCATATTAGCCAGCTTACACTGACACAATATATATATTTGTATACACATTCAAACATATTTATTTGAAACCTAAACCGATATATTCCTGCACTTTAACTTTATCTGCATATTGAAGTATGAATGCTTGTTGTTTGTATGTTGTCTTCTCCTGGATGTTGTACGTCTCTTGTTTTTGTTTTTTTATGGCAACTTAAAAAAGGGAGTAGCTCTACTCATCTCATTGTACCTGTATAATGACAATAAAGGATTCTATTCTATTAGGTCCTTCGGGGCGAGTGGACAAATTCTTCCTCTGTTTTTTACATCTAAGATCGTTATACAGTATTGCAATTCTACATGGTAAAAGTGTTTGTCTAATGCTTTAAAGTAATAACTGCTCCACCAGTTGGAAATCTGCTCAGATAGTAGGTCAACCTTTTGAGAGACTCTATGAATCAGCCTACCATGATAACATATTGAGGTTGTCCAATGTCATCGCTGAACCCAACCGTGTCCTGAACAGTTCATATCAATTGTTATACATACAGGGTTCCACGATTTAAAAAAGTTAGACCGAAGCACTCTTTTGTGCACCAGTCAATCCTCAAAGGAAATACAGAGCTAAATCTCAGGTCAAATGTAAGTCAAAGGGTCTTGGTTCTCTTCAGTGATTGTAATGTTATGTTAAATGTTCCCTTGTATCTTAAATATCTGTCCTTGTTGATGTTGACTCCACTTCGAGCGTTAGAACTATTAACGAAGCACTTATATACTAATAAAGGACTGGCTTACCTAAAGCCAGTTGAGTAGCACGTGAAAATGTTTGGCTCTATGAAACCTGATGTACTTATATGATTCTGTTTTCTTCAAGGTTGTGTCTTCCTGGTCGAATGCACTTATTGTAAGTCGCTTTGGATAAAAGCGTCAGCTAAATGCAATGTAATGTAATGTTGCAAATGGGGCTGCTCTGATGCAATAAACATTTCAGACTCGCTCTGACAATGAAGTATCATCGCATCGTGTCGTATATCTCCTTTTTTATTTGACATTGGTGCAGTGTAGGGATCCAGCGGGCCACTCACCAGTTTCTCCACCCCGGACACGGTGCGGTTGGCGTGACGGAGGGAGTAGGCCAAACGATTGGCCCCATCACTCGACTCCCCGTTTCCGTAGAAACCCACGGCAATGCCAGCGCTGGAGGGCAGAAAACAGGAAGTGCCAAGTGTTAACACAATGACTAATTCAACCATCGGATGGCATAAACGTAATCAATATGGATGAGTGAGTTCAATAATCGTTTCCTTTTCTCACATCCATGCACTCACAACAAGGGCCGAACAGTTTATCGTTTTTCTAACATCAACCCCATGATCTGCTTGTGTGGCTGACTGTGGAGCAGGGGGTAAATGAGTGTTTACCAATCAGAGAGTAAATGGTTCAATCCCAAACCCCTGCACTGCAGTCAATTGGTCTAAGTGTCCTTGGGCATGTCTATGGTTTTGAAATGAATGGAAATAAAAACAGCTCAAAGGCTCTAAAATTGCAGTTACATTTTGAAGTGCAGATTTCTACTTATACTTTCTTCTGATTGACTTTAAAAATCTTTATCATTCACTTTTTGGATGTTGGAAATCCTTTCCTTCCATTGTTTTTTTATAAGCAATTTGTTGATTTGTTTTGCAGTGTACTGAAAGCAGCAGAAAGGTAGAATTGAATAGACTTTTATACAAAAAATGTATAGCAAGTTATATCGATATTCAAAAATGTTATTGCATATTTTCCTCAGACGATGCAGCCCTACACACACAATAACGGATCAAGATGTCAAGTCATTAATATAGTTCCTCTGTTAAACAGCAACAGGGGGCGCTGAGCTCTTTGATTTGGTGTCACCCCCCCCCCAGCCTCCAACAGGCACACACAGGCGCACACACACACACACTGCACAATAATTGGGTCAACAGACCGCACATAATATGATCCTTCTGCAGCTCTGCATCCACATTCACACATGACACATGCTGCACAATATCTGAGGTTCATGACCTCAACACTCTTTCTTCAAAAACCTTGTGCCCCTTAATCAAGTTCAAACCACAACTACCCGTTGCCCACATGACCCCCCCCCCCCCCACCAGCACCACCATCTTATCCCCTTTACACTTATTCCTTCACATCTGACCCTTTTTCCCACTCAGCCCCTCCCCATGATGCTCGCATTTTCTCACTCGCCTTGCAAAGCTCTTGTAGCCCCCTCTTTTGTCTTTGTGTACTGTACTGTGTGTGTGTGTGTGTGTGTGTGTGTGTGTGTGTGTGTGTGTGTGTCTGCCCTCATTGTATTGATGATGTCTCTGTCTGTGCACTAACAACAGACAGATTTGTAGAGGGAAATATATGGGCATTGTTAAAGCAATTCATTCTAGCCCATTAGATCTTAAGTAGCCCCACGTTACAGCTGGTTTACACACACACACACACACACGCCTTTGTGTAAGAGTGTGTTTCAGAGCTTAAGATGGACTTCACATCTGACATAAAAAAAACAAATACAGAGGGAAACAAGCTTGACAAGAGAAAGCAACTAAAGATGATTAAAGGCATGGAGACACATTAATGTGCTCCGTATGTTGGAGTAAATATCTTCTGTTTTATCTGACAACTTCCCCACTCATCCTGCCGCCCACCATCTCACTCCGTCCTTCATGTCCTCTCGCTTTAACCAGTAAATCCTCTCCCTCTTCACTCCTGTGTACTCATCATCTTCTCCCCTCCCGCCACTCCTTTCTCTCTCCACTTCCCTTCATCCCTCCTCTCTCTATGAGTTTATCTTGCTGGTTTAATACCTGCTGCTCCTATCAGGGGATTATTTACTTTATTAACCAGGGGCGGCTGGCTGTGAGTTAATGCGGTCGTCTTCCAATCAGAAGGGTTATCCCAGCAATAGTGACCAACATGTCTTAACCCCAGGTTTGTGTGTGTGTGTGTGTGTGTGTGTGTGTGTGTGTGTGTGTGTGTGTGTGTGTGTGTGTGTGTGTGTGTGTGTGTGTGTATTGGTCTGATAACTTCCTTGAGCAGGTGGCATCTTGCATGGCAGCTTCACTATGAATGGGTGTGAATGGGGGAATGATGAATTGTATGTAAAGCGCTTTGGGGACTCGCAAAGACTGGATAAAGCGCTATATAAGATGAAGTCCATTTACCATTTAATCAACCACAGTTTAGGATATGATACATTAAAGGGAGAGGGAAGGTAGACACTAGTTCAGAAGTCCAATAATTGCTGACAAACATTAGCCAAATTAGCTTTGAATAAAGGAATGGATCCTACACATACATCACTGAGATATTTAAGTTAAAGCAACCACTTTGGACTGAAGCTAACTCTGTGAGATTAAGTGCTGCTTAACTCTAATGTCAGGTGAAAAGGACGGACATAATAAAGCTTATAATGCTTTGCTGTAGCTAAATGAGCACACTAACATACATGCAACTGGAGCTCAGTGGATGAGACAGTACATGTTGTAGCCAGGGAAATAACTGAGTCCAAACCAAACTGCATCCAAAATAAATGCATCCAATTAGCGGTACAGCTAAATGACATGTCTCATTTTATACGGTACGTAGAGCAGTGTGTGTTGATCACACAAACTGCATGTAAACAGTTGACAACACACAGACACCTAATGCCCCCAAAATGCGGCAATATAAGACCGGGGTGGCAAATAATGATTATTCTTTAGGCCTCAATCTGATCTGCATTGGCGCTCGTCTTGACTGTAATGAGCCCTTTGGGTCTCACCATTTCATACCCAAGCAACATCAAAGTTATAATCCTTCACATGTTTATGATCAAACGCCATTTTGATACGAAGTACTGCTGACATTTACCCAGCATTAATGAATGTATACACATCTATTACGTAGCTTTGATCCTTACTGCTGAGCCCGCCATTCCCAGGCTGGATTAAAATGCCCTACATGCAGCACGGGCGGTGTTGGAAAATGAACCAGGAATGAAATGCTAAGAAATGTAACTTTAATAAGCATTTTTATTATTGTAATAATGAAATTCAGTGTTAGAGCTGTTCATTTATTGAGTCATGGTCAGCTGCAGATTGTCATACTTGGCCTGATGTCACCTAAATTAAAGAATTATTACAAAGAACAAGTAACATATATTTGTTTAATTCTTGGGGAAGGATTGGAGGGATGTATCACCATGCCATACTGTTGCCATACTCATTTTTTGGGTTTAAAAATGTAAGAAGTGAATAAAGAAGTATTTCTGCCTATAACACGTGAAGAAATAGGAAAATGACAAATATAAATGTCCACAGTCCACAATATCCTACAATTGCTTGTTTTTTGCCATCAATCCAAAGCCCAGAGATATTCAAGTAACTCTGGAAAAGCTGGATCCAGCTCCAAATATATTTAATGAATTTCCTGTTGATTGACTGATCCATTAAAAGACTGATTGTTGCAGCACCACATACTCTCCACGTAGCACAAAACACTAAATCAAGAAGCAGCCTCTCCTATCCAAACACTCTGCACCTGCACACAAATGGAGGAAGCCCACACATGTGGTTGGTGCCGAGCCAAAAATAAGGTATGATGTCATATTAAATGGAGAACAAAGAACCGCATGAGCAAACCAGGAACGCACACACACACACATACGTCCATATCAACTATTCAATAAGAAATATTAAAGCCAATCATAAAATATTAAAAAGCGCAAAAAAAAACTCTTCAGCACTGAGTCACGCAAACACACACAGCTCCCTCTGACTGTATAATTTATTTCTCGTCTCTGCATCAAATCTGCTTCTGTCTCCATGGCAACCTTTCTAGGCCAGGGAGAAGACCAATCAGAGAGAAATAAGAAATAACGGAGGGAGACTGAGAGAGATGAAGAAAAGGGGAAGAATATGGGATATAAAGAAGTGATCGGGGGGGGGAGTAAATGATAGAGGAATAGTTTGTATGTTTTTGGGTGCATGTGAGTGTGATTAGAAGAGCAGAGTCCACACAGCGGCTCAGCGTCTGTGGTCACAATACTCTGTGCCCTGCTGCTGGGTCGATGTCTGAAATATCTCACAGTTTACACAGCCTTCAGAGTCAGATAAACACAAACAGTGGAGTAACCACATGGCTGGCTCCCAGTTACACCACATGGGCCTTCCTGCTTAAATAAGACCGAGTGGACTTGATTTGATTTGTGTAAATGTAGGTCGATTTACAGTCATTATGTTCATGTGACTGCGGTCCAGGGAACATCGTGAACATCCAAAAGGCTGGCATTGCAAGAAGGGAGAAGAGCAGCCATGTTTTCTGCTGGATGACAGTACATTTTTGACTTTATTAAATCATTAAAAAAAAGGGTTTCCTCAGACTACCCACTCCAAAACTCACAGAAGAATCACATTTTCACTGAAATAAAAATGTGATTATTTCTAACCGCAACTGCAATACGGGGCTTATCATATCTCTTTCAGAATAGTTATGTTTACATTGGATGTTGGCTTTATTCCAACGCCTGAAATGTCTGCAAAATAAAATGTGTTTCTTTGGATTATGTATTAGGATTCAAGTAGCTCCAATATATTCTGACTTTTTGTTTTTGTTTCCAAGCTAGGATGGCATTTATTTGTTGAGAATGAGAATCCATTATGATTTATTTTACAATGCAGTATTTGTATCAGCTGTTTTGTTGATGTGTAACAATGGCCCCCGTCTGGATGTGAACCTGGGAAGATGCAGTTTTATCTGTCGCTGACACTATAACAATATACATTTTCTATTTTTGGAGTGACTGGTGGATTGGAAGCATGTAAAAGTGTATCTTCTCCCGAACTTCTCAACCTTATCAAGTAGTTAAAACACGATTTATGGCTTTTCCCTTCAGTTTTAAAGTGCTAATTAGAAAATGTGCATAAAATGGGTAGACATATCCATATATAGTAATTAAAGGAAATGTACCATACCAATGTACAAGCAATGCGGTGCACATAATGTTAATTGGGTAACTATGTGTTTTAGTGATATTGCCTGTGCAGCAACAGGCTGTATTATATTACAGAGCCAGCAAATCAGCGCCTCATCAATCCCCGGAGAGAAGATTTAAAAAATCCTCTTAAGACTACAGGGCAATTGCTTTAATTGGGGAGGATGATTAAACATATTAACCTTAACTCACTCAAGCATTCTGCATAAAACAATGTTATAGTTGAAGTGGGGTCTAACATCTTCCAACAATACATGCATACTAAGTCTTCACAATCTGATGGAGAGAACCGCTCACCTGCAGACGAGCGTGGCGATGATGACGCACCAGGCGGTGCAGCAGCAGTCAGGGCTGGGCTGCTGGGAGTGAGTGTGAGAGTGAGACGAGTCGTCTCTCTTACGTCTCCGGCAGCAGAGCCAGAAAGAGTAGAAGAGGAGAAAGATGAGGTCCAGGCCGAGACACAGCAACGCCACAGAGCCCAGCAGCAAAATGGACTAGAGAGAGGAGAGATTCAAAAAGAAAAACAATGTCAAATTTCAGTTTATGTTGAACGTTTTCGGTCAAACTTCAGTTCTTATCACGAGGGACAATTAAGGAAGTGGGTTATATATACAGGAAGCAAATCAGCTGATATGAGCAGAAACCAAGACACAAAGACAGACAGAGGATTCGGTTTTTCCTGTGCAGACAGACGCGCACAGATCGCGTTTCCTCTGCAGCTATTTGCGGCCATAAAGTAGTAGCCGTTAAATGGCTGTTTGATGGATTCCATGAAAAACACATTTGCACACCATCGAACGTGCACACCTCCATGGAGAGAGCGGAAGTGCTGCAGAGACCCACCACACAGATCACACACCCTCTAAAAGCTTTGAAGTGTAAAAGTAGGAAAGGGCTGGGGGAGGGGGGGGTTACATTTGGAACAAAAAGAGACGCTCGAGAGAGAGAGAGAGAGAGAGAGAGAGAGGAAAATAAGGAGATGTGAAAGGACACGACTGAAGTGAAAACCAAAAAGGGAGAAATGGTTGAAAGACAGGGATGAGGGCTGTTACAGCAATTTGTCTGGAACTGATTAAATCTGTTTTACACACACACACACACACACACACACACACACACACACACACACACACACACACACACACACACACACACACACACACACACACACACACACACACACACACACACACACACACACACACACACACACACACACACACACACACACACACACACACACACACACACATCTGGAAAAGTCATTGTACTGCAGGGCCATGAAGAAGAGACAAAGGCACGTTTCTGGAAAGCAGAAATGTCCACCTGCTACACTGCTTACAGTCGATAAAGGAATGATGCCACAGTCCTTCTAGAAACAGCAACAGTGTTATTCTGGGGACTCCTCCACGAATGATAACAAAATCTGTCTCCACCTCTGAGATTCCCACAGACTTCCTGGCTTCCCGGGCCTCTTTCCTGCTGCGTTTCGTGCTGACTTGATTTTTTCCTCCCTGCCAGCCAGCAATTTCCTCACCCTGCAGCGATTTCTCTACTGTAAATATGCGTGTGAATTGAGTGTGCCAGAATAGACTTCATTTACATAAAGCATTTCATGTAAAGCATGTATCAGGGATTTTTGTTTGGCAATGTAAAGTATGAAGGTTTGGGCCAGTGTTTCCCCACATAGACGTCTGGACCCAGATGTTACATGTGTGGGGTTGCAAGATAAATAACAGCATAGGAAAGCAAGGAAATTGCATTCCCACATCAAAGGATCAACATTTGTTCTCAGATCTTTGCTTTTTGTCTTTTGAATTACGGGATTATTTAACCTCTTCAGGTTTGAAAAGGTCTAAATCAGAATCATTTACAACCGTAACATTCAAACCTGAGGGGGCTTCTTCCAGGGTTAGAACATAATCATTTACAGCCATGCTTCAACATGCTCACATGCTCAAAAGCTCAATGATAATGTTGTGATGTTTAGCGAGTATTATGTTTACTGCCTTCACTACTGTAATTGGGAGATTTAGTGCGTAATCCTTACATTTGCTTATAAGAATAGAACAAAGTAGATGTGAAGCTGAAAGGTTTGTCAATGGTTGTAGTGTAGGGCTGCTCAATTAATCGTATTTTAATCGCAATTACGATTTTGGCTTGCAACGATTATGAAAACAACATAATCGAAATAAAACGATTTTTTTTTTGTGGGTTTTTCAGTTGAATTATACTTAAAGTTCAGGGTAATCAACTGTTCAAATATATTTTTTCAATAAATGGATGTTTTCAAAGTAAATGAATAATCGTGATATCAATTATTGACTCAAATAATCGAGATTATGATTTTTGCCATAATCGAGCAGCCCTTTTGTATTGTATTCAGTCGTAAACCATGTTCAGGTCATCATCAGGTCAGCGCTACCACCCAACTACTCATCCTCTGGATACCATAAATATCTGTAGAACATTTCCTGGTAATCCATCAATTGTTGATATTTGGCAAAAACATTGGCAGACTAAGCATTATCGCTACATGATTAAAAATACTAGTATCTCCAATAAGATACATTTTGGATATCTAGGGCAACATGTACTTATCTGATTAAGATGGCTTTTATTCTCTGGAGCCTGATTTGGTATGCTGTTATTCCAAGGAAAGTCCTCATCCTCAGAAACATGGCTAACAACACTTGTATCTCCATTGGGATTGGATTGTTAATGCAAAATGCGGTCTGTTGCTTATCTGTTCCACCTCTGGAGACTGATCTGGCATGTTGTTTTTCCAAGGAAATTCCTGAATCTCATTAACATCACAGACATAACTGTTCAGACTAACCAGCCACACTGCAGGCAGCTGATATTCTGTCACCAGCTGTTCTTCAAAGGCACAAATCTCTTTCACATTGAGGAACAATGCAGACTAACAAGGTCGGCATTTCAAAGTAAAGTGCGATTAGTGGTAGATGTATCACCAGGCCAGCAAAAGGGCACTGCATTAAATCTGATGGGCTGCTTCTCCTCCAGCGCGGCTAGTGGGTCAGTGGAGCACTACAGCGGAGAGGACACCATTTGATATTGGTCTGTAATAGGATGTGACCTGTGGTGTAATGTGACATCTGAAGGGAGGGAAGAAGGCTAATCTTTGATACGCAGTCCGAACCACAACCCTCAGTCCCTGGTGAGGAATCAGAGCACTTCTATTGTCTCTAACTACAGCCTACAGGCTAGGAGATATGAATTACAGGAATGAAAATGAACTTGGAAAATGCACGCTGCTCAGGCGGTTTAAAAATCTCAGTTTAAATAGTAAGGGGATCTCATTTAGCTACGAGGCTATATGTTTTATCTGTAGTCGATGTAAAGTCACCATAAAAACTAAATATATTTAGTAAATAGAATCACAAAGCTGGAAATGCTAATAAAAATAATAAAACATAACATATTACATAGCAAGTGGAAAGCCACGGGTTGAAGCAGTAGAGAAAGACAGAGGGCTGTACAATGCAATAGATAGAACTGATTCCTAACTTACCATGCTTTTAAATAACGTTTAAATAAACAGAATTTTGCCTGTTCTGTACTGTGACTAAAATGACTTTTCCTAAGCGTAATAATAACCCTTCTCCTCCTGCTGCACCTCTTGTTAACCTATATCCAGTTGTCCTTGTGTTGATAGACTGTCTGCGCAGAGGTGAGGTTAGGCCATGTAAGATCTTGTACAGACAGAATTTGCATGTTTATTCATGTTTTCAGAGCTCAACAACTTGCAGGGTCGTCAGTCATAGGGCAGCAACTACAATTATGTTCATTATAAAATAATCTGCATATCATTTACCAGATAAATGGATAAATCAGGGGGTCTATGTCCATCCCAAAATCTAAGGTGATATATTTGTATGTCTTGTTTTGATTAAACCCCAGAAATTTTTTGTTTAATATAATATAAACACATTAAGCCTATATATTTAAGAGGCAAAACCATGGATGTAAGAACTGGATACAGCGTGGGAGGTGGGGCCTCGTTCATTCCTATGAGAGTTGCTCATTGGCGCATGAAGACAAAATGGACCAACTTTTGAGAGAGCGAAACGTCACGAAAGTATTCATATAATCACATAATCCGTTCTTATTGTGCGTCCATGGGTAAAGGCAAAACTCATGTAGTACTGAACACGTCACATGAACGTGCCGCGCGGCGCGGTCCCGTGGGTTAGATGCGCGTTCATAATGCCGAGGAAAATAACTCTCAGAATAACGTTATTAGCACATTTTACAACTTGAGGACCGAATGTTTTTAATAAGGGCTATACAAGTGTTCATACTGGGTAGTTTAAAAAAAAAAACGTAACCAACGATTTACAGACGTCTCTTTCCCAATGTTAGTCAATGGGGAAAAGTCTTTCCGGGCCCAGTGACTGATACGGAAGTGTAGTACCGCCGTTTGGCCACAATGAATGTTTTCCTCAGAGTCCGGCGCACTTCCTGGGGGCTTGGGCCAGACCTGAATGTTCTGCCATATTGTATGAAAAGTGACACAAATGAAGTATAAAGTATCAAATCTAAGCAACAACCTGCATCTATGTGTCATTTGTCCGTTTCTTTGTTGGCACATTATCTCTTTCTGATGAGAAACCAGTTGGTTAAGCAGGGCTGAAAGAGAGTTCATCGACAGATTGCTAGACTGCACAACAGGTTAAAGAAGATGAGGGTGGGAGGAGAGGGAGTTAAGCTCGGTAGATTCTTATTCTCTGGTATTATCCTGTGTTATTATCTATAGGCTTAGTGCCTGAACATCTATGGTAAAAGCGTACTGTGCTCCACTAATGCACTGTTTGACCTATTGTGTCTTTAAAATCAACGATAATACCATAGAGAGTAAAATGCATTAAGCTTCAAATAATGAAACCTCGCGCAATAACGGCCAAAGCTTTTATTGATATATCACGCTAATGGAATAACAATAGTGTAACAGATACAGTGATATAAAATGACATTATAAAGTGTGTTAGTTTCCATATGAATTCAAGTGTAGAGTTGAACTAGTAAATCAATAAATAGTCAACAAAAAACTAACAAATACTTAGATAATAAATCAATGATTAATGATTTCAGTCATATGTTAAGCAGTTATTTGGTCATATATAATATTCAACTACATATATTTGGGTTTCTTGGTTGGAAATACAAACAATCCTACCTTGAGGGTCATATGGGTAAAAATGGATAAACAGATTAATTAATAATAAAAACAAAACTGTCTATTAGTCTTAATCTTTGTTTCATGTTCGTCAATAGAATAAAAGTCACAATTAAATAAATAAAAACATCCTAGAACCAAAATAACTACATTTGCTGTGGAAAGTAAAGACAAGCATGTTTACGTCTGAAAAGTCATGACCACTGGATGTTTGACATGTTTGTGTGTCATTGACAAATTAATGGAACAATTACTTGACACATAAACTTGTCTATAAAGCAACAACACCGGATC